GCCTAGCCTTCTTTGCCCTCTTTTCATATTTCATTCTCTTTATTTTAAAAAGTACCATATCCATCAAAGCAGGAATGTGGACATATATTGCAGCGGTAGCGATGCTCTTGTTGATATCTATGGTTACTTCACATCAAGTTGTAGTTACTGACCATATTGGCATAAAAAGCTTTAATTCTTTTCTTGAAGTTGAGAATTAAGGGATTAAACTAACAATAGGATTAGTTAATCTGTGTGATTTCAGATACATGTATATGTGAAATAGCTTTATTTACCATCCGCTTCCACTGGAGTGATATCGCTGACAACTTTCTTTAAAGGAATATGCTGTACTTTATATTACAATAAATATTACACACAAATTATTCTGGTGATCTGTTGTATGTGTAATACATAAGAAGTGGTATCTGTATTCTGTTACAGAATCTGTAACACTGTATTCTTATTGCGTGAATTACCTTATCAGGTCCAACAATCTGTCTGCAATTGTTGTATATTTATGGTGTTTTCTGGATAGTTGTGTTGTCCTGCCACATCCTGGAGAATCTTATTTTCTATAATCCTATTCTAGACATTTGTATGGTTTTGATTATTACATTTATTTACCTTAACTAATAGATTATTTACCATTACGGCTGTTGCCAAATCTAACCTTTTCTTACACGAATATAAATCCTGCAGTGAAAATGTAGTTATTCATTGGATGGGTGGGGGAGGTACATCTTTTAAAAGCCCATTTGGTGCAGCATTTAATGAGGAAATTGAGAATGAATGATTAGTTACATTTTTCCCGGCATGTCCAATATTAGATGTAGGAGTTGGTAAGAGTTTTAAGAAAGCAAGTTTTAAATAACTAAATAAAACCAGTCTTAATTGTGCTGTTATTTTGTATTTGATGAATTATTTCGTAATGAAACTGACAATTAATCCAATGATTATTGCATTATTGTCCCCCGCCTTACGAAGAAAGCAGGGGACTATTAAAATGGGTCCGTCCGTCCCGTTCGTCTGTCCGTCAAACTTTTTGGGACACAATAACTCTCTTTCTAATTGAGCTAGAATGTTCAAACGTGGTGTAGGCGTTTATTAGGTCAATGCCTTGATGGAGTTCGAAGATGAGCATTTTCTGCTTAGGGTAAGCAGAGATAAGCAATTTGATTGGTTGATGCTTTGGGACACGATAACTTTAATTCTAATTAAGTGAGAGTGAAGAAACTTGGTCTATATAGTTTCTTTACATCAATACCTTGACTGAGTTCGATAATGAGCATTTTCTGCTCAGGGTAAGCAGAGCGATAAGAAATTTGATTGGTCGAGACTTTGGAACACAAAAACTCTCATTCTAATTGAGTTAGAATGTTCACACTTGGCGTAGATGTCTATTAGGTGAATGCCTTGATGGAGTTCGAAGATGAGAATTTTCTGCTTAGGGTAAGCAGAGATAAACAATTTGATTGGTTGATGCTCTAGTTCTAATTAAGTGAGAGTGAGGACACTTGGTGTATAGATTTATTACATCAGTACCTTGACTAAGTTTGGTAATGAACATTTTCTGCTGAGGGTAAGCAGTGCGATAAGAAATTTGATTGGTCGACACTTTGGAACACATTAACTCTCCTTCTAATTGAGGTAGAATGTTCATACTTGGTGTAGGCGTTCATTAGGTGAATGCCTCGATGATGAACATTGTCTACTGACGGTAAGCAGAGATAGGCAATCTGATTGGTTGATGCTTTGGGGCATGATAACTTTAGTTATAATGAAGTGAGAGCGATGAAACTCCGAATATAGATTCATTATATCAATAATTAATGTGTCATCTATTTATTTTGGGATTTTTTGGGGGGACATCAGCCTCACTGTCATCCTCGGTATCCCCAGCGGTTTCATTCCGTTCTACTCCACTAACCCCTGGGTTTTTCAAATTATTCGGCCTTGATGATTGTGCTATTTATATCAACCAATCCCATGCATCATTAATTGAAAAGGAAGTTCACAAAGGGAAGTAACTCTCATTGGACAAGTTTAGGAGTTAGCCTAAATGAGAGAAGTTCAAATTATTCTAAATGCGTACTTACTAAAAACAAATTATATAATATGAAATTAATGAAGACCGGACCAAATTACCAAGTATAAGTTCAATAATAATAAACATAACAGAATGAAACATTTCAGATAAAGAACGAATAGTAATAATAATAACAAAAGTCAAACATATAGATGTTATACATATTTAAAATCATCGAAACATACTACATATTTTGATAATACAATTAATTAGAAATGAATTAGAAATATATACATTATTTACATAAAACATTCAGTAAATGGACATGAATTTGGTTAATTACCCTTATAAAAGCGAAGGCAAAACGACTGGTTTGTAAATTATTTCTTGATTGATTCGTAGCCCTTATCTACAATCAAGGTCAGGGCAGATAATTTGAAATCGTGGAAACCCTATGGATTAACCCAGGGTATAGTGGAGTAGAACAGAATGAAAACACTGGGGATACCGAGGATGCATCACTGTTGGTTTGTTATATCAAAGTTCGGGTAACACAGGTAGGGCAAATGCCCTGGGTGGGTGCAAGAATTGAAGGAATCGTCAATGAAAGGTACGGACAGTAAGATCATTCTCCTGTTAAACCTAGGGAAGTAAGGAAAGTGAAATTGTAATTTTCATTTAGGATTAACAAAATTGACTTTCGAGCTGATTTTAATGTAAAATTATGTAAATAAGAATGGGTGTCAGATGTTTAGACAGGGGCACAATTCCAACATTTGTCATAGGTGCTATTTTCCGCAGATGCGCCACTGCTGCAGTGTCAGTCAGCTCCAAACTTGACACATTTTTGAAGAGTGAAGCCAACATTAACCAATTATTTATATTATTATTGCAACCTAACACTTTATGTCTAGATGACCTGGCGCCTGGTACGTTCGGGCATTTTTATGCGCGAACTCTTAGGGTTTTTTTTACTGGCATGCGCACAGGTACTATTTCTTTTTCTTTTAACAAGTACCCAAATCGGGGATTTCGTGCGGAGGTAGTTCGGAGGTAAACAGTCTGTGAAGTACAACACTTGCCACTGTACCTGTGTATCGCTAATTATAAACCGAATGTGTGAAGACAGTTCATACATATCACTCAAAAAATTTTCAGTACAAACTCAGTTGATTCACGCTCGATTTGCTACTAAACAAACCCATCGGTTTATTTTCTCAACAGTGTGACCCGAAGTGACCGCGGATTTATTGACCTTGTATGAACTTATCCATAGCTATATCCTTACACCGAGAGAAATTATCTAGTCTCGGTGAAAAGAACCATGGTCATCTGGTAGAAAATTACTTTTGTATTTTTTGGAACGGAAAACAGTGTTTTTAGAAGCAAACTAACCTGCCGCACATGAGGAAGTCATTATACTAATAATAAAAGGCGAGACCTCTTTTTGCGGCGCAGGCTTATCACTGAGTAGTAAACCGTCCATAAACAATAATATAGGAAGCCTAGTGACGAGTGTAGTAAGTAGGCTATAGACTATAGGTTTGAGTCGAGATTACTCGCTTTCAGTTTACTCTGTTTTTGCGATAACCAATTATGCGAGAAATACCATACTGACATTTGGTTTTTAAAAGTTGTACGCGAACTAAATGCGTTTGTTAGATACTGACAGAGCAGCCCCGAGTCGAACAATCGCCGCCCGAGCTGTCTTCGTCAGCTAGTTTCACAATATCGTGCAATAGGTGTATTAATGTGATTTTTAGGTTTAACCCCGCAAACAATGCCAAAATAGTGTTTTCACTGCTTACAGAAAACTGAAAGTTAAAAAAAAATTTTTTTATGAGGGTGACCCTCCCACACACTCCCTATCGAGCTGCCGCTCGGTCTGCGCAGCCTCATGCCTGGCACATACTGTCAACATTGTATATTTTTCCGTTTCCGCCCTTCCCCCCCACAATATATATTTCACGGCTACGTTGCGACGGTACCAGCATACCCAGTTGTTGACACCCATTACATCACTCCTGTCTAACAAATCATAAAGCTGTGGTGTTACGGTGGCGGCATAGTATTTCACCGTAACACCACAGCCACTCTAACCATTCATAATACATCTAACTATCCCTTTACAGCACTTCACTCCCTACACATTTCCCCTCGTCCTACTTTCCCAAACGTCAGCAACACATTTCATACATCCAGTTCGCTGATTAACCCTTGTACCATCCAGTTCGCTGATTAACCCTTGTACCACGTCTACTGGATCGTGTTAAAGTGAATAGAGGCAACATTCATTCCAATTAACAGTATAGCCTGCCCATTTCAATTAACCACTACACATATATATCAACAATTTAGCTTGTTGTATGCAAATTGTTGGGTTGGTTTTCCCTAAATATAAATTGGAGTTGATTTATTGAATATATAAAAAAAAACTAGACTATGACCCAATCAACTTTATAGAGTTTTAATGATATTTGGAAATACTATTTTTAAAGAATTTGGTGTGAATTCATCTTTTCTTTTCAGTTTTCAATAATATTAGTCAATATCGTCAAATTTTCAACCATAGATAATGTTTAATTTTATGAAAATCTATGCTCCAGTAATAAATACTACATTCAACTCAACAAGTCTTAATTTTTTCAAATGCCATATGCTTGTAAAATACCTTCTGAAGATAAAATGAGTTTCGACTATAAATGAGTTACTATTAGTATTAGCCACAAGTTTACATGTATTTCAATTTACATTCAGTCCTAAATTCAAAATTCTAGCTTATGGGCTTAACTTCTAGATTGGACAAAATTTCCATTACAATGGAAAAAATTTACATATTAATGTTCCACAACTGAATCTCAATGAATGAACTACATGTGTAGATTTCTGTGATTGACGTCACAGTATACGTAATAAGAATGATAATAGGAACAAGCAATAGAAATGTAATAGATCTGATTCTTGTTAGTTTTGTTAACTTTTTTCTTTTCAGAAAATCCTTAGATAACAACAAAAATCAGACAAAGAAAAATCAAACATACAATCCGAAATATTTATGGCTTCGTCTGGCCATTTTCGAGAAACAGTTAGCAAAAATACTGGATTATTTAGTTCAAAATAACAGGTTTGTTTAGTTTGATATGAGATTCAAAAGAGAGATTTATATTAAGTTCAGGTTTTATTTGCTGTAATAAAATATTCATTATGAATTATAGATATATCTATTATAACAATCGGAATTTAAAATTTGCTTAATTTTTTTCACTCAAAATTTTTTTACTAATGTTTTCTCTCTTTGTAGTCGATATTATGAAGCAGAAGCATTGATATCTGATCCAGTTGACGGACCTATATTTGCATCTTTATTAAGTAATTAAAACTTCTGGTATCTTTATACATGTACTTTCTTTAACAATTTATTTACCTATAATGTAGTGATAAATTGTGTTTCTGGTTTGATAGAGTTAAAGCTAAATTATTCTATTTTCAAGGAATTTTGACAAAACAGTATAAACTAGTAACATAGTGTACATTTAGTTTTTGTAACCTGTCATCACGTTCGTCTGTTGGTCTGTCGTTTTTTTTTACAAAACCTTGTTAGAGCCATATATTTTCAATGATTTACGATAATACATTAAAGAATAATTCACCGGTATCTTTTTTACACGCCCACATTTTCATGTGGATGTATATTGTCGTTGCCCCTGTCCGTCCGTTCGTTCGTCCACAATTGTTGGTGAACACTCTACAGGTCACAATTTTTATCCGATTTCAATGAAACTTGAAATATAGGTTTATCACCCTAAGATCTCGATTCCTTTTGATATTGGCATGTATCGGACTGTAACTTCATGGATTATGTCTCCTTATTGTGAACACTGTAGAAGTCACAATTTTTATCCGATTTGGTTTAAACTTGAAATGTATGTTTATAACCCAAAGATCTTGGTTCCTTTTGTAATTCGCGCATATCAGACCATAACTTCCTGAAGTATGGCCCCGATTGTACTGAAAATCGTGATTTTAGCTTGTGGACCCCACAGAGGTCACAATTTTTATCCGATTTAAAAAAACATTCGAATATATCACCGTTACACCCTAAGGATGGTTGAGTTCAAATTTCGTAAAAGTCAGACCAAAACTGCCAGACAAAATGGTCGCCCCTCGTTCGCAAATAGTGTCAAAATATTGTGTATCAAGGTTGTGGACCCTCTGGAGGTCACAATTTTCATCTGATTTCAGTGATTTTGATAAAACTTGAAATGCATGTTTATAACCCACAGATCTCGGTTCCTGTCAATATTTGTGCATATCGGACCATAACTTCCTGAATTATGGCTGATTGTACGAAAACTCGCGTTTTTAGCTTGTGAACCCCATAGAGGTCACAATTTCTATCTGATTTAAAAAAACGTTTGAATATATCACCGTTAGACCGTAATGTTTGATGAGTTCAAATTTTGTGTTCGAAATTCGTGAAAATCGTGCCAAAAGTGCCTCGTACGCAAATAGTGTAAACATCTGGTAAATCAAGGTTGTGGACCCTCTAGAGGTCACAATTTTGATCCGATTTCGTTGAAACTTGAAATTCATGTTTATAACCCAAAGATATTGGCTCCTTTCTGTATTCGCGCATATCGGATCGTAACGTAGAGGTCACAATTTTTATCCGATTTAAAAAAAAATGTGTGAATATATCTACATTACACACTAAGATCTTAATTCCTTTTGATAATCGCAGATACTTTATCTTAACTTCCTGGATTATGGCCCCTGATTGTTCAAACAATCGCATTTTTAGCTTGTGGATTCTCGAGAGGTCACAATTTTTTCCCGATTTTAAAAACCTTTTATATACATCACCATTCCACCATAATGAAGCTTGGTTTCGTATTTCGGTAAAATCGAAATGAAACTGCCCGACAAAATGGCCGCTCTTTGTACGCAAATTGTGTAGAAGTGTGTAATACGAATGTTGTGGACCCTCTAGAGGTCACAATTTTTATCTGATTTTGATGAAACTTAAAACATACCTTTATATCCCAAAGATCTCAGTCCCTTTTGATATTTGCACATTTCAGGCCATAACTTTCTGGATTATTACCCCTGATTGTACAAAAAATCACTTTTGTTTTTAGCTTGTTCTCTATCCATCTCTTGCAAAATGTGGGCGTAAACCTGCCTGACAGCCGCTGGTTATTGTGGGATTTGATTAAGTTGTTTTTCGATAATAACTCCCTTTGTTATGAAATCTTGTCAGCACTTCAGAGGCAATCTATGCTATGGAAAGAAAGAACTGTTCTCTTTTTCATTGATTTTTTATGATAATGTCTTTGATTTTTTTACGCCCACATTAAAATGTGGTCGTATATTGTCGTCGCCCCCGTCCATCCGTCCGTCCGGTGATCCGGCGTCCACAAGCCAAAATTAATATCTGATTGACTTTAAATTTATACACAGTGTTTAAGGTCTTGAGACAAAGAAGCCTATTGATTTTCAGCGATTTCCGATAATTATTTCCAGAGTTATGGCCCTTGATCACTTTGAAAAATCTTATGGACGCTCTAGAGGCCAAAGTTAATATCCGATTGACCTAAAATTTATACACAGTGTTTAAGGTCATGAGCCGAAGAAGCCTATTGATTTTCAACGATTTCCGATAATTACTGCCAAAGTTTTGGCCCTTGATCACTTCAAAAAATCTTGTGGACGCTCTAGAGGCCAAAGTTAATATCCAATTGACTTTAAATTTATACACAGTGTTTAAGGTCATGAGACGAAGAAGTCTATTTTTTTTCAGCAATTTCCAATTATTACTGCCAGAGTTATGGCCCTTGATCACTTTGAAAAATTGTCGACACTCTAGAGGCCAAAGTTAATATCTGATTGACTTCAAATTTATACACAGTGTTTAAGGTCATGAGACGAAGAAGCCTATTGATTTTCAGCAAATTCCGATAATTACTGTCAAAGTTATGGCCCTTGATCACTTTGTGACACTCTAAAGGCTAAAGTAATCATCCGAGTTATGGCCCTTGATCACTTTGAAAAATCTTGTGGACGCTCTATAGGCCAAAGTTAATATCCGATTGACTTTAAATTTATACACAGTGTTTAAGGTCATGAGCCGAAGAAGCCTATTGATTTTCAACGATTTCCGATAATTACTGCCAAAGTTATGGCCCTTGATCACTTCAAAAAATCTTGTGGACGCTCTAGAGGCCAAAGTTAATATCCAATTGACTTTAAATTTATACACAGTGTTTAAGGTCATGAGACGAAGAAGTCTATTGATATTCAGCAATTTCCAATTATTACTGCCAGAGTTATGGCCCTTGATCACTTTGAAAAATTGTCGACACTCTAGAGGCCAAAGTTAATATCTGATTGACTTCAAATTTATACACCGTGTTTAAGGTCAAGAGACGAAGAAGCCTATTGATTTTCAGCGATTTCCGATAATTACTGTCAAAGTTATGGCCCTTGATCACTTTGTGACACTCTAAAGGCTAAAGTTATCATCCGAGTTATGGCCCTTGATCACTTTGAAAAATCTTGTGGACGCTCTATAGGCCAAAGTTAATATCCAATTGACTTTAAATTTATACACAGTGTTTAAGGTCATGAGACGAAGAATCCAAATGATTTTCAACGATTTCCGATAATTACTGCCAGAGTTATGGCCCTTGATGACTTCAAAAAATCTTGTGAACGTTCTAAAGGCTAAAGTTAATATCCGATTGACTTTAAATTTATACACAGTGTTAAGGTCATGAGACAAAGAATCCTTTTGATTTTCAACGATTTCCGATAATTACTGCCAAAGTTATGGCCCTTGATCACTTTGTGACGCTCTAAAGTCTAAAGTTATCATCCGATTGACTTCAAATTGATACACAGAGTTTAAGATCTTGAGACGAACAAGTATATTGATTTTCAATGAATTTTTATGTCTTGAACAGCTAAATCCATGATATTAAAAGTTTTGTATACAAAACGTTAGCATGGGGCAGAACTTTATAAAAACAAACAAATTCTAATGGTTTTCTGATAATTACTTAATGAGTTGTTGCTCTTAATCAGATTTAAGTGTATTATAAATGTTTCTTTACCGAAAAAAGTAAAAATATGCAACAACTCTTGTTTTGTTGCCTGGCAACCTATCTTTAATGTTTTTGCAATAATCATTTCCAGTGCCCCTTGTAATCACTTTTATAGGCTGCAGCTATTAACCTATTTTACTGAAAATTTTATTGGTTGTCTGTCCATCCTATTGAAAGGAAGAAAACTGTCGATTTTCAATGAATATTACGCTCACATTTTCACGTGGACGTATTATCCTGTTGCCACACAGTCTGTTCGTCAGTCAGGATGTCTGTCCACAAATTGTTTGGGGACACTCTACACAGGTCACTATTTTTATGCGATTTTGCCGAAACTTGAAATATAGCACCATCTCCCAAAGATCTTGGTACGTTTTGATATTGGCATGTATTGGACAATAACATCATGGATTATGGTCCCTGATTGTACGAACAATCTCGTTTTTAGCTTTTGGACACTCTAAAGATCACAATTTTCATCTGATTTGGTTCCTTTCGATATACGCGCAGATTTTATCATAACTTCTGAATTATGGCCCCTGATTGTACGAAAAATCACATATTTTAGCTTGGTTCCTTGGTTCCTTTCGATATATGTGCCTATTGGATCGTAACTTCCTGAATTATGGCCCTTGATTGTACGAAAAATTATGTTTTTAGCTTGTAGTCCCTCTGGAGGTCACAATTTTTATCTCATTTAAAAGAAACGTTCAACTATATCACCGTTACACTGTAATGTCAGCTGAGGTCAAATTTCGTGAAAATTGGACCAAAACTGCTGGACAAAATGGCCGCCCCACGTACCCAAGTAGTGTAAAAAAATACGGTATATCAAGGTTGTGGAGCCTCTAGAGGTCACAATTTTGATCCAATTTTGATTATACGACCACGGCCACATGGAAATGTGGACGTATATTGCCGTCGCCCATAGGCGTACGGGGAAATTTTTGACTTGGGGGGGGGGAGGGCGGTGGTGGCTGGTGCCCAAAAAATGTAGCTAGGTTCTTAGTATGTTACATAATAATAATAAATTAGCTGTTAAATTGGACACATTCAAAAACGCAATATTATTTTATACAACTTTTACAAAGTACAATTGTGTGCCCCGATTTCCCAGCATTTGGTGCCCAAAATGGGGGGCCGCCCCCCCCCAGCCCCCCCAGCTCGTACGCCTATGCCGTCGCCCCCCGTCTATCCATCGTCCCCAATTTCTTGTGAACGCTCCTACGCCAAAAGTTATGATCCGATTGTGAGATGAAGAAGCTTATTTAATTTCAATAATTTCTGTTTATTACGTCTATAGAGTTATGGCCCTTGTTTTACTTTCTTGGACCTTGTGAATGCTCCAACGCCAAAAGTTATCGTCTGATCTGTATGAAATTTATATGCATCATTTACATTAGTGAAACCACAGAGCCTATTGAATTTCAGCAAATTACAATAATTACTTCTAGAGTTATGGCCCTTGTTTCACTTTGTTCAACCTTATTAATGCTCGATTGATCAAAGTTATCAACAGATATGTATGAAATTATATGCATCATTTAAATTTGTGAAACAGAGGTCAATTGAATTTCAGCAATTTCCGTCAATTATTTCTAGAGTTATGGCCCTTGTTTTTTCTTTGTGAACCTTGTGAACGTTTCATTGACAAAAGTTATCATTCATTCTGTATGAAATTTATATACATTATTTAAATTAGTAAAACCAAAAAGCCTGTCAAATTTAAAAATTTTCTGTAAATTACTTCCAGAGTTAAGGCCCTTGTTTCAGTCTGTAGATCCTTGTTAACCCTCAGAGGACAAATATTATAATCTGATCTGTATGAAATTGTCTTGTAACTTCCTGAATTATGACCCTTGATTGTATGAAAAATCACGTTTTTAGCTTTGTGTTACCGCTAATTTAGTCTAAAGGTCACAATTTTTGAATATATCACTGTTACACTTTAACGATGGTAGAGATCGTATTTCCTGAAAATCGGACCAAATAGTAGGTACGCAAATAGTGTAAATATATGGTATATCAAGGTTGTGGACCATGGGTTCCATGGCGCCCATATATGCCATTCAAAACCTAGGGCTATGGAAAACAACCATAACTAAATCTAACTCATTGGCCATTTTGCACTCTGGAAAAATAACCTTTTTTCAAAACCCAGTTTTTAAACATGGCTACAATCGACCTTCACTATGTAACTATAAAATTGTACGGCCATTACAGAATAATGCACACTTAAAGAAGCCACATAATCTTAGTATTGTGTTGATCTTGTAGTAGAACAATAAAAGTTAATTGATATTTGAGAATCTTATCAAAGGCATGAAGTGGTCCATTGTTCGTCATTCACCCGTAGTGTCATAAGAATTTTCAAGAACAAAGCCCCTTTACTGCTATTAGGTTACGCACGATCAAAAATTAATAAATTCCTGACAACTACTGAGCATTGGTCTATCATTACCTCTTTTACATGACAACTGCGTGATGTTTGGTGACAATTACATTCAAAATAGACTGGTCAGACTGAAGACAAAGACTAGGAAGCTGGGTAAAAGTAAGGCTAAGTCCAATAAATGTATGAAATCATACAACGATTTTCTTGACACCCCATTTTTTCCCTGGATAGTGGACGAGACTCCATTGGCAGATACCAGTGAAATTAATTTAATGAATAGAGAGACTCAGGCATCTGCCGATGCGACCTTGACTGATTTAAATAGGAAAAATAGGTATTTGCGCCGAGTGTCATAAAAGTGTCATATATGCAATAACCGCTGACTCGACACATACGCCACTTATTCTTGGTCTTCGTGAAATGGCTGATAAATCTGCACAAACTACATTTAGTAAATCCGTTATTTTCGAAATTAAAAATACCATGTCAGACAGAGCCAGCACCGAAATGCTTTTGAATCCTTTATTTACACAATACAGAGGCTGTATATGCGCTAAATTAGTAGAAAACTGGTCAGATTTATCAGATTCAGAGCGAAATATTCATATGAATATTAATCATTTCTTTTGTGGTCTTCATTTATTAACTGGTTTAGCAGATAAAAGCGTTCTGGAATTGAAAAAAATTGAAGAAATGTATTTTAAAACATTCTCGACCAAAATGTTTAAAACCGCTATATCATTTTCGCCAAACGGATCGGGGTGTGTTCTATTGGTTCGAACCATCTGTAAGGCCTTTACTCATGGTGGAGACGAAAAGTCGGGTTGTTATTTTCCTTTCAAGTTATATTTAAATTCCTTAGGGATTTCAAAATTACAGCTAATGCCATTTCATGGTCAACGGATTAATATCATTTTTATACACCCACATTTTCATGTGGACGTATTATGCCGTCGCCCCTGTCCGTCCGGACGGGGACGTCCGTCCGTCCACAATTGTTTCTGGACTCTCTACAGGTCACAATTCTTATCCGATTTTGACGAAACTTGAAATATAGGTTGTGTACCGTCACCATAATCATTGTCGGCTTCGAATTTCATGAAAATCGGACTGAAACTGACCAACAAAATGGCTGCTCCCAATACAGTATGAAATACAGGTTGTGGATCCTCTAATGAATTATGGCCTTTGATTGTAGGAAAAATCACTTTCAGTATTAATTGTTCTCTATCCATCTCTAGAAAATGTGGGCGTATCCTGCCTGGCAGTGCCAGCCCATCTTTCACAATGCCGCAATTGTAACTTATATGGCCAACCATATTAAAACTTTTCTTGGTGATTTTGGCGCAGAAAATCGAATGACCCAAAGCATTTCATTAGATATTAAAATTCCTGTATTTCTTATAGAATGCCAGGCTTTGTGTTTGTAGCATTATAAACAGTTAATATTAAGACATTTGAAGGCGTGGGTATATTGTTAAAACAACTAAGCGTTTGTGCATGCACACACATGTCAAATTCAATCGTCTCTAGAGTGTATTCCGTTACTCCGCAGCAAGGAATAGTGTCTGTTTGTTGTTAAAAAAATTGAGCATGAACCACTCACTGTTGGCTTGTTCATTATTATGATTAACGTCACAACTATGCAATTATGCGGTCCATAATCCCGTAAGTGATGGTCTTAAACCGATAAATGTGAGAAATATGCCGTGGATAATTATATATTTATCTTCATTTCGAGGTTATTGTATTACAACTAAAAATTATTCAGGTCAATGTTGTTTCTATAGAGCATGTGGTAATCCATGTAAGCCATGGCCAATTCAGCTATTTTGATTATTTCAGTAGCCAAAAGGGAATATTTCATTAATTAATAACTATCCTAAGCCTTACTAATATTTCAGTTTGAAGTCCAAAATTTAATTGGTATAGACACATGAATTCACAAACCCTACCATGAATAAAAACATGAAATCTGAATTTATTTTGCAAAATTTTTGTATATTATCAAAAATGACCGACAGTGAAAATATTGAAGTGGAAGCCCTGATTTTGATGAAACTTTAATTTATGTTTATATCACAAAGAACTTGGTTCCTTTTGATAATCTTACATACCTGTATACGAACGTAACTTCCTGGATTATGACCCCTGATTGTTTGAAAAGTCGCAGTTTTAGCATGTGGACCTGCTAGAATTTATTATTTGTATTCAATTTTAAAAAACGTTCAAATATATCACCGTTACACATCTACAAGATTGAGTTCGAATTTCGTAAAAATCTTACATAAATTGCCAGACAAAATGGCTGCTTCTTGTACGCAAATAGTGTAAAAGTATGTAATACGATGGGTGTGGTCACTCTAGAAGTCACAGTTTTGATCCATTTTTGATTAAACTTAAAATACTTGTTTATAACCCAACGATCTTGGTTCTTGTCGATATTCGTGCATATCAAATCGCAGCTTCCTGAATTATGGCCCTTGATTGTATGCAAAATCGTGTTTTAGCTTGCGGTCCCTCTAGAGGTCACAATTTTTATCCGATTTAATAAATTGTTTGAATATATCACCGTTACATCCTAAAGGTTTTGTGTAAATCGAACGGAAACTGCTTGACAAAATGATTGCTCCTTGTACGCAAATAGTATGTAATATCAAGGTTGTAAACCCTCTTGAAGTCACAATATATCTTTATATCCCAAATACCTGAGTCCCTTTCGATATTCGCGCATTTCAGACCAGAACTTCCTAGATTATGGCCTCAATTGTACGAAAAATCGCTTCTTTTTTTTTTTAGCTTGTTCTTTATCCATCTCTTGCAAAATGTGGGCGTATCTTGCCTAGCAACCACTGGTTCTCTAAAAAGTTTGAAAAGAGAATATTGCTCGGTAGGACAAAAATACTCTGTGAATTTAAGTCAGTTTAATTGTTATTGAGTGGAATGACAACTCATTTACTTTGGCTGAAAATAATTAAAAAGTTTTGTTCTATTTTTAGTGGGACCATGTGCTCTAGATTATACCAAAATGAAGACATCTGATCATTTTTGGACAGATCCACCAGCAGACGAACTAGTTCAAAGACATCGTATACATTCAGGTGGTAATCATGCTTTTGTTGGACCTGGATCACCAAAACGTCCTGGATTACAGGTAATTATTCAATAGATAGATAATTTCCAACATTTAGTGTTTGGGAAAGCATGTATCACATCGCGTTTTGCGATGGGAAAATAGAATTGAAAAAGTCGTGAAAGTATCGGTGAATTAAATTGGTCCATCTCCCCAAGTCCTACTTTGGATTGAGGTTCCACAGAATTTTTGGGAATGTATGGACTCCATACATCCCTTGCAAGCTGTGTTTGTTTACAAGTAAAATGTGTGCGTATTAGAGCTAGGCGACTCAAAATATATATCGTAGTATTGACACTACATCACAATATTTTCTAAAATCATAAATATCCATTTTAGCCTTATGATGATTTAGGAATGGTACACAATAGATTCACTGGACTTTCTGATCGATGTCCTCGTTTTTGAAGAAAAATATCTCCATGGTTGTTGTGCTGTTAGAAATCAAAACAGATAAACAGGCATCAGACCTTATCTAGACCGGGTTAACATTATAAACCAGCCCAACATCAAAATTTGTCTCAAGTATCGTTTTGTAAGAAGATGTAACCAGGGCTTCCACTTCAAAATTTTCACTGTTGGTCATTTTTATACGCCCACATGTATGCCGTCGCCCCTGTCCGTCCGTCCACAATTGTTTGTGGACTCTCTACAGGTCACAATTCTTATCCGATTTTGACGAAACTTGAAATATAGGTTTATCCCCAAAAGATCTCGACAGCTTTCGATATTGGCATGTATCGGATCGAAACTTCATGGATTATGGCACCTGATTGTACGAAAAATCACGTTTTTAGCTTGTGGACCCTATAGAGGTCACAATTTTTATCCAATTTATTTGAAACTTGAAATGTAAGTTTATAACCTAAAGATCTTGGTTCCTTTTGATATTCGCGCATATCGGACTATAACTTTCTGAATTATGGCCCCTGATTGTACGAAAAATCTCGTTTTTAGCTTGTGGACCCTATAGAGGTCATAATTTTTATCCGATTTAAAAAACCGTATTATTATATCACCGTTACACCCTAAGGACGGCTGAGTTCGAATTTCGTGAAAATCGGCCCAAAACTGACAGACAAAATGGTCGCCCTTCGTTCTCAAATAGCGTAAAAATATGGTATATCAAGGTTGTGGACCCTATGGAGGTCACAATTTTAATCCGATTTTGTTGAAACTTGAAATGTAAGTTTATAACCCAAAGATCTTGGTTCCTTTCGATATTCACGCCTGTCGGACCATAACTTCCTGAATTATGGCCCCTGATTGTATGAAAAATCGCGTTTTTAGCTTGTGGACCCTATAGAGGTCATAATTTTTATCCGATTTAAAAAAACGTATTATTATATCACCGTTTCACCCTAAGGACGACTGAGTTCGAATTTCGTGAAAATTGGCCCAAAACTGACAGATAAAATGGCTGCCCTTCGTTCTCAAATAGCGTAAAAATAAGGTATATCAAAGTTGTGGACCCTATAGAAGTCACAATTTTTATCCGATTTTGTTGAAACTTGAAATGTAAGTTTATAACACAAAGATCTCGGTTGCTTTCGATATTTGCGCATATCGAATTGTAATTTCCTGAATTATGGCCCTTGATTGTAGGAAAAATCACTTTCTTCTTAGCTTGTTCTCTATCCATCTCTCGAAAATGTGGGCGTATCCTGCCTGGCAGCCGCTGGTTGATTACGCACGAAAACTTTGCAAATTTAATTCATAATTCATGTTTTTATACGCCCACATTTTCATGTGGACGTATATTGTCCTCGCTCCTGTCCGTCCGTCCTTCCACAATTGTTTGTGAGCACTCTACAGGTCACTAGTGCTCCTACGGTTAGGACTTTTTGTTATTCGAATAGTCGTAGCTATTAACCGGTTAGTAACCGTTAACCGAATGGTATCAATTTTAAACATAAAACAGAGCTTGTCAGGAGGTGCGAGTCATTACTCGTGCGCACGCTATGCCTAAAAGGCATTACACGCGCAAAAATTTCAGGAATTTTTTAAGACATGTACAATTCTTTGAAGAAAATTTAAACTATCTAAGGCCGTAGTTATTTATTTACCTGGTTAACTTGGTTCATTTGAAACATTTATTTCAATATAACGAATATTACGATTACACAATGTTACTAAGAATAGAATAAAGTAAATTGGAAGTAGAATTCTTGCAAGAAATTACGAGATATGAAACATGTTGAATGTCGTAACGAATCTAGTATAATGTCATTTTCTAGCCTTTATGATTATATTTTGAATGGTGGTTACGTTTTGAAGTAAATAATAAACAAGGTAGAATATAGTTAGAAATGCCGAGAAGTATTTAAATTGGATTAACAATAGCAAAAGTCAGAACAAGGTCCGTTGACTTTGCCGTATGACTACGACGAGTGCTATTAATAGTATTATTTTTTAGCAGTCGACATCGTAGGACGACTGTTACATTCTAAGATTTTCAAACATCAAATACAAAATGACAACGGGCAAGTTTTGTTTTAAAGAGGAATATAATCAGACACAACTCTTATGTAATGGGGGACATCTCCGAATAACCGTACCGTTGAATTCGAACCGTTTAACCGCCCAGTTCTAACCGTTTACGGCTATCCGACTAGATGTAGGAGCACTACAGGTCACACTTTATATCAAATTTCAATGGAACTTGAAATATATGTTTATCACCCCAAGATCTCGGTTCTTCTCGATATTGGGATGTTTTGCACTGTAACTTCATGGGTTATGGCCCCTGATTTTACGAAAAATCAAGCTTTTAGGTTGTGAACACTGTAGAGGTCTCAATTTTTTTCGATTTCGTTGAAATGTATGTTTATAACCCACAGATCTCCGTTCGTTTCGATATTCGCGCATATTGAACCATAACTTCCTGAATTATGGCCTCTCATTGTTAGAAAAATCGTGTTTTTAGCTTGTGGACCCTATAGAGGTCACAATTTTTATCCGATTTAAAAAAAACGTTTGAATATATCACCGTTACACCCTATAGTTGAGTTTGAATTTCGTACAATTCGGGCCAAAACTGCCGGACAAAATAGCCATCCCTCGTACGCAAATAGAGTAAACATCTGGTAAATCAAGGTTGTGGACCCTCTAGAGGTCACAATTTTGATCTGATTTCGATGAAACTTGAAATATATGTTTATAACTTAAAGATATTGGTTCCTTTCAACACTAAGATCTTGGTTTCTTTTGATAATCGCGGATACCCAAACTTAACTTCCCGGATTTTGGCCCCTGATTGTTCAAAAATCTCATTTTTAGCTTGCGGATTCTCTAGAGGTCACAATTTTTTTCCGATTTTAAAAACCGTTTAAATACATCACCATTCTACCATAATGAAAGTTGGATTCGAATTTTGGGAAAATCGAAATGAAACTGCCAGACAAAATGGACGCTCTTTGTACGCAAATTGTGTAAAGTGTGTAATACATGTACGAGGTTGTGGACCCTCTAGAGGTCACAATTTTTATCCGATTTTGATGAAACTTAAAACATATCTTTATATCCCAAAGATCTCAGTCCCTTTTGATATTTGCACATTTCAGACCCTAACTTTCTGGATTATTGCCCCTGATTGTACAAAAAATCGCGTTTTTTTTAGCCTTTTCTCTATCCATCTCTTGCAAAATGTGGGCGTATCCTGCCTGGCAGCCACTGGTTATACGTCCATATTCATAATGCTGTTGCTCCTGTGTGTTTCCTACAGGCCGCAATTCTTAACAGATCGTCTTGAAACTTTATACACTTATTCCTTATACCCTAAGGATGATCCCTATTGTTTTTGGTGCATGCCCATTTTTTGTATTTGTTTGTTTGTCGTCTACAGACCCCATTTCTGAATGGATCCACTTCAAACTTTGCATACTTATTGCTTATACCCTAAGGATCACCACTTTTGTTTTGGGTACATACGCCACCCCCAGGGGCAGAGCCACGCCCATTTTCTTTGTGTGTGTGTCTCTGTGTCGCTTACAGGCTGCAATTTTTAATCAATTGTCTTGAAAAATTCTCATATGAATTCCTTATACCCTAAGGATGATCCCTATTGTTTTTGGGGCATGCTCAACCCCCAGTGGCAGAGCCGCGCCCATTTCTTGTATTTATGATTGTCATCTACAGACCGTATTTCTTAACTTATCACCTTGAAACTATGCATCGTTATTCCTTATACGAAGAAACTTCCCTATTGTTTGTGGTAAATGCCTAACCCCTATTGGCAGAGCCATGCCCATTTTCTTTTTGTTTTCCTGTGTGTCACTTACAGCCCACAATTTTTAATCATCGTCTTGAAAACTTGTTTATATTTATTCCTTATAGCCTAAAACGAATCTCTATTATTTTTGGTGCATGCCCGACTCCCTGGGACAGAGCCACGCCCAATGTTTGTGTGTCTTGTCTTTCCCTTACAGCTAAAATCATGTCTGATCAATTATAAGTGCAAATTTTAATAATGTGTTTATTGAAGTTAACAGGTAAAAATTATTACCAAAAAACTGCATTTTCAGTAACATATTTTGCATTAATTTTATAATTGTGAACTGATTTTTATCCTGTTTATGAATGGTCATTCAGGGGTCACATACCGTGAAATTTTGAGTTATTACCTAATAAACTTGTTAAATGGATTATTATAGATGAAATATAACTCTGCCTTTAATACCACTGCAACCATATTATTCTTTTGAACACTGTCAACATATGGTATGGACTGCTTTAGAGATTAATGGAGATTATAGTTATTAAGACTAAGCAACTAGATTATAACACTAGATTGGTATATAATTAGATACTGAAATATAGTTCATGTAAATCATAGATTCTGTATATATTTAGCTATATGTTTGGTGTACCAGGATAATGTTTGTATTAATGAATACAACTGAATTATATGTTATATGTGTAGACATATTCCACTGCTCTAGATAAGTTTTCTAGCTAGGGAGTAGTATACAGGTTCATAGCGAATGCAAGATAACAGATAGCTCTGTTTATTTCTATTTCCATGTACCTCCCAAAATCAATTACACTGCAGTCGTTTGTGCAGTATCTTGGGGTTTAAGTCTAGAATATTTTGTGGATATACATTGTATCTAGATCAAATTGAATTCCTAGTTTCTGTCCTTTTTTTGTCTGAATAGTGAATGCCAATGTTTACATGGGCCAATATTTTAATGTTTTGATATACATGTACATTGTCACCATCTCTGTCTATCTATACACAATTTCTTATTGAGGCTCAAGTGATTCAATTTACTTTAAATATGCACAATTTTTATGTTCATGAAACAGTTGAACTTTAACAATTAATGGTAATTACATTCAGAATTAGTTCTCTTGATATATTTGAAAAACTACAGACTAAATTGACCATTTGATTGCAATGTATATAATAAACACTGTTTATGTTAAGGGGAAGCTTAATGATTTATAGTGATTAAAGATACATGTAATTTCGTTCAAAGTTATTGCCTTTGATCACTTTATTAATGCTGTAGAGTCTAATGTTATCTTCTGATTGACTTTAAATTCCATACACCGTATTTATGTTCACAAGAAGAAGTCTATTGATCTTGTGAATGCTCTTATCATCTGATCAGCCACTCAGAATTCCTGGGTACTTTCCATGCCCTCAACCGTTTTGAGAGTCATATGTGACCATTACACTTAGAAATGTACATAAAATGTGGACTGTTTGCTATGAGAAAACTAGCTCGTGAGTCAAATAGTCCCTGCCACTTCTTATAGTCCATCTTTCCTAATCAAGGCTACATTATAACAGAATGGTTACTTAAAATGCCATTTTGAATGATTGTGTGATAGGCTGGTGGGCATGTAGATTCTGAAATGGTAACATATGATTGCTAGGATTAATGGCCATAGCATTGCTTTCACAAACTTGAAAGTTACACAAACTATTTCTTGAGAAAAATCACATGGATGCTCTAAAAATTTATTTGAAATTTTTGAGTTACTAACGGTTGCACAGGTAAAGGCATGAATCGGAAGTAGCATAATCCTGAAAACCGAAAGTGGTAGTTCAACGCCACCAGGCCTATGTTACTCCCTGGTCCAAGCTATCCTGATTCACCAAATTTCAGCCTCTGGACAGCCCTAGTATAGCTACCAACCTTTAATTATCTGTTTAGGCTAAGTAGAGATAAGCCATTCGATTTAATGATGCTTTGGAACACATGGTGAAACTTTGTGTATCGTTTCATTACATCAGTACCTTGACTAAGTTTGATAATGAACATTTTCTTCTTAGGTTAAGCAGAGTGAAATAGAATATGACTCTGTAATATCTGTGTGAAAAATGAAATGAAAATACTGTAAATTGGTAATAATTCTTCTGTTGAATCTTTCAAGAAATATATATGAAAAGTACATATTTGCAAAAAACTAAAAAGATCAGGTGGTTAAATTTTCTTTTATCTAATTTGCAGAATGAAAAGAAACTACGCAACTGGTGCCAAGGCAATTATTGTGAATTAATGCATACTGTAGCTTGATATTATTGTATTTTATGTTACAGATAAGAAGGACAGCCAGTAGTGGAAGTGGAGAAGAAAGTCCTAAATCATTACACATGTCAGCAAGAGAATATGTTGAATCATTACATCAGAATAATAAAACTACCCTACTTTATGGTAAAAATAATGTTCTGGTACAGCCAGTAAGTATACATCCTGTTCCACAAATGTTAAATATAAACTGTCACTGTCTGAAACCAGTGTTGACAATGGAAAATCAATGCCATAATAATCATTAAAATATAATTCTTCTATATTGATGTATTATTTTAACGTTTTTTTATGTCTGGATATTAATCATATTATGAAGTATGTATTGTGATGCATATAATATTGTAGGTTGAAGTATTGCTGTAGACCTAATTGAAAGAATAACAAGAGCTAATCATTGTTTCTGTTTGTAGATTTTACAGTCAATTATGATTTATGATAAATTGTCTTTCGCTGCATTAATACTTGTTAGAACTTGGTTGCCAAAATTTGTCTAACAAATTCCTATGTGTATTTGATATAAAACTGGCAAGAACTTGAAGAAGGCATATATTAAAATTTGAATAGATATTCACTTGATCGTGTGTAATGTGACAAAACAAAACATTGCTCCGGGCGTACTTACTTTGTCTAAAAGTTTCAGCCCAAAATATCAAGTCTTGGGTTAAGAAAAGGGGATTTCAAGAGCCTTCCACACATTAACCAGTAAAATACCGGTACATATATATGGAATTTATTTTTTGAGAATTCACTGAATATAAACACACTAATAAATTGTCATTTATTTGCTAATAGAAGGAAGATGTTGCTGCCTTGGCTGGTTATCTATCATTACATCAGTGTACAGATGGTTTAATGATAATGTGGACACCTAATCAGTTGATGAATGGTTGTTGCGAACAAGTTGATGAAGACGCTGATAGAAGGTATTATCCTTGATATGAGTAGTGTATAACACATTTATTTTATAACATATTGATTTTGTTAAATGTACTTACCTTTGTTTTTCTATGTTGTTAATTGTATTGATCTCTTATAAAGGTGACAGTCTCTTCAAAATCTTTAGCATTTCTCATAGCAATTTAGATATTGTTATTTTATTTATCTCGCAAGGTTTTGGAGATCAAATAATACACTCAAAGCCATTAAAAATACAATGCCAAATTCAAAGTTTATTTACTGCAACAACTTTTAACAAATGTACATAACAATTAACAAAATCGAGATAACAAGCATCAGTGATTAATTTTATGAAAGAATTCCCTACAAATGCACAAAACCGAAACGTCAGAGAACCATGAAACAAAGCAGGGGGCAGCTGAAGTCAATATCGAGTATGTCCACCCTGAGCTCTTACACATGCCTGAAGTTGCCAATGATTTTGGAGTGCCTGTGCCAACTCTGCAACAGTTCGTGGTGGCACTGCTTGGGTTCGAACCTGTCGTCCAAGTTCATCCCAAAGGTGTTCGATCGGGTTCATGTCGGGAGACATAGCGGGCCAATCCATAACACGGACATGATGATTGTTCAGATAGTCTCTTGTCAACCTGGCAGTGTGGGGTCTGGCGTTGTCATGCTGGAAAACCATCTGTCGACGGATGCCATGTTGAGCCAGCAATGGAAGCCACCCCGGACGAAGGATGGCGTCAACATAATGTTGAGCATTGAGATTGCCTTGGACAACCACCAACTGGGACCGGAAGTTGACATTGATTGCGGGCGAAACCATGACAGCACCTACCCCGAAACAATCCCTTTCCAGCACACAGATACGAGCAAAACGTTCATGTCGACGTCAGTAGATACGGTGACGTCCATCAGGAAAACTGAGGTTGAATCGGGATTCATCTGAGAAGATGACATTTCGCCATGGTGTGTTGTGCAGATACCCCTGATTTGCAGCCCATTTGCTGTCTGGCAAGTCGATGACGATGCAAAAGGTTAAGGTTGACGGCAGCGTAATCCAAGAGCAGCCAGGCACCTTCGGACTGTTTGAGGACTGATCTGACGTTGTCGTGTTCCAACAGTTCTCCTGGCAGTAGCAGTAGCTGACTGGGACCTGTTGCGCAGATGCTGTAGTTGGATGTGGCGATCTTGAGCAGCGGTTGTTACAGGTGGTGCTCCGGGTCGGGGTCGATCGGCAACTCTTCCAGTGGCGTGGAAGCGTTGTCTGAGGAGAGCATTGGTCGATGAGTGGACATTAAAGTGTCTGGCTTCGGCTACCTGTGAAGCCCCCTGATCCAGCATGCCAATACCTCTGTTCCTGTTTTCTTGTGTAAGGCGTGGCATTTTTCCGAAGTGATGAATGGTGAAAATTTTATCTGTATTTGAAGGGCCAGAGTGGAAGGAATGCACGTGCAAAACGTGTGACATGGGACTGCTTAAAATCGTGAAGAAAGACAAGTGTTGCGTTTACACAAACAAAGTTCATTACTGAGAACTGATATTGGGTTCAAACCCAGAACTCCACAAAAAGAGACCCATCACAAGTTTCACCTATGTGCCATAAGATAGGAAAGCCCAAGAAAATATTTACCAGAAATATTTCATGAATTAAGCATTGCGTTTTTAATGGCTTTTAGTGTACATTGAAACATTTGAAGATCTAAAGAGATTGTCCTAAATGTTATTTGATTTCTCTTTCTTTGTTCTATTCACACTCATTTTCTTCCATTTCAAGAATCAGTAACAGTAAATTAGATTTTGATTTGTTGTTATTTTTTGTTTTTTTATTAATTTTATCTTGAAATTTGTATTTATTTTGTTTTGGTTGTTTCCTGTGTCGTTGTGAATAATATAAAAGAAAATGCCGCTCGAATGGTTTTATGAAACAATTTAAAACGGTGTAAGTGTATACTCATTCAATGTTTTACAACACATTCAGTGTTATCAATAGAAGTTTTTTTTACGAGTATTGTTAAAACTTAACATCTCTGGCATCATTAAAAGTATGTCTTAATAGCTTCCTTGGTCAACAACATTCTTTTTTTTTTGACCTGCTAGAAACAAGTGGTTGATGTCCAAATCTCTGACACCCTTACCTGAGGGTATAACAGGATGTCTAAAAATGCATTGGATTCAAAGGGTTAATAATTATATATTATCAGTAATATAGACAACATCTATCAGCTGTTTTGAAATTGATCTTAGAACCCTTTAAAATCAATTATTTTAAAAAAGAAAGAGCAATCAGAAATTTTTTTTATACATTTTTTGTTAAGTGAGTGTGGTGAGTGTTTATATTGTGTGACTATTATTTCAGTATGTATTGGGAGTATGCAATGACAGTATTTCTAGATGAAGTAGTTTATATTCACTGTCATCAGCAGCGTAAGTAAATGCATTATCTTTAATAGTTGTCTGTATTCTGGCAATATAATATAATAGTGGTAAGTGTTTATAAATTTAAACCTGATTTGTCTAGTGTATCTGCATAATCATTGTATGTTTTGTTTATTTTGGAATTCCTGTTATTTATCTCAGTCAAAATAGCTTTGAAGAGAAGGTGTGAAACTAAAGACCACTAATTGAAGCCTATATCTCTATTATGTCTGTACTTTCACACACACAATAATGAAAATAGGTAGAAGTAACTGTATTGATATAGCTGTTGTAGCCATTTCCGTGAACCAGACTCGTCTTTATTGATGAAACGTTGATTGCCAAACCATATTATTTCATAGTCCTTGTCATAGCATTTACATAAAATTATGTTAGTAAATGTTTTTGTATGTACACATGAGAAAATATCATTCTGATACACAAAATTTGTCTCGAGATACAATAATTAAAAAAATATTAAACCATAACTATTTGGAGAGATATATTATTTTACTTTTTTTCTTAGCCGATTGTGGAGGAACTGTTGTATTAGTGGGACAAGATGGCGTCCAGAGACCACCAATTCATTTCCCGAAGGGAGGACACCTTCTAGCGTTTCTTTCTGTTTTAGAGACAGCTCTTCTTCCACATAACCAACTTGATCCTCCTCTCTGGAATCAGAGGGGAAAAGGTAAAGAAATGGGCAAGTGTCAAAACGATTCTTAAATAAATTTTTAAATAATGACATTATAGACTCACCTGGAACACTGTGGAGAGTTCAAAATGTGTTATTGATAAATGGTAGTTTTTAGACGGGGGTTCCCATTGTTGTTTTATTACTTTAATGAATCAAAAAGACGAAACTTGATCCTATTTCCTGTTTGGAAATGAAATGAAATGGGGTTTAACGTCCTACTGTTCTGCTCCTATACTGGGCTAATGAAGACGGGCATACGCCATACAGTGTGCTATGAGGGAAATTTTGCCCGGGCAGCGGCACCATCACCTACTCTTATATTGAATTCCAACTGCCAAGGGATCTTTTACGTGCATTCCAATGTATACACTTGACCTCGGTTTTTCGTCTCATCCGAAAGACTAGACAGCTGTCCTTGTCAGGCCCTCCGTTCTGCACCACTGACAAGGGGAAACCACGTCAGAAAATCCAGATGAACTTTCTCGGCCAATGCAGGGATCGAACACCCGACCTTCAGGCTAGCGAGCCACCGTGGCTCCCTCCTGTTTGGAAAGTTCAAAGGAGAAATTCTAGTATTGTAATGAATTATAGATCACATAGTGACCACAGATGAAGAAGGATACCTCTATACTATACTAGTCATGCGATTAAGCTACTGGACTCCCTATGTCTGGACATTTTCTTTGTAAAAGACACCCGTTGCAAATAACTTTGCTGTCACACATTATCCATAGGATAGCAATACCTGTAATTTATTTGGATTCTTATGGTGATCCATATTTTGTCCATCTGTAGGTCAGTGAACATTTCGAACTAGAATTCTTCAAGAAAGAATTTCCGCTTGACAATCATAACTCCTGGCCTGACAGCTGACTAGGATGGGGTTTTTTTTTTACCATCAAAATACTAGATTCTGATTACGCATTTCCTGAACCAAAAAAGATTTCTTGACATTTCAGAAAGAAAACTGTGTAAATGTGACTGTTCAGATGTAGTGCCTGTTTCTCTTTTTGTACATATTGAACTAATTAAGGCATTTTTAACTGCCAAGATTTTATGAGCCAAGTTGTTAATGATGTATAGTGATTTAATTGTATAGGACTGTATTAAAACTAATCTAAATCATTTCAGGTAAAGTCTTTCCTAAGTTAAAACGTAAAGGTAGTCAGCTATCTAGTGCTAGTAGTAGTGGTAGTACTGGGAGTTCTAGTACAGATGAAGATGAAGCCACTGATTATGTGTTCCGTATAATTGCAACTTTTAAACCAGAAACATTAAGTAAGTTGATAAAGAAAACAACTTAATGATTAAGGAATATTACGTACTTGCATATAACAAGTACCGTTGTGGCCAGAGATGGGATTTCGCCTGTATATTTCGGACATGTCCGACGCTATTTCGGACATGTCCGACGCTATTTTCGAAATGTTCTAAATTGTCCGACCAGGAATATGCCCAATCGAACATCAAGACATGGTGAATAATATTCAAAATTCCAAAATAATATTGTGTACTGAGTGTATAACTACCACACAACCCGATTATCGTTGATGATAGGCTGGATTGATTAGGTAATTAAGTGATCAGCGTATTTATCGTGTTAGACCGTCTATACACCTACCTTGATTAACTACTTAATCTGCTTTGATTGACTGACTTAATCCTTTGTCGGACAATTCATCAATCTAATCTTAAACAAAAGTCATTGCTTCCACTTTGTCGGACTATTCATCAATCCAATATGAGTGATTATAATTTTAATCCACGTGTTTACGTCGTGGTTTCTACATTGTCGAACATTTTAATCCCATTAATGTGAGCCGACAATATGTATAAACTAATCATAGATGTCACATATTGCAAGAGTATATAACACCCCAAATCAATATATTATATGTTAACTTGTATATCAATATATCCGTTAATTTGTCTGCGATATCACTTCGGTGGAAGCGGACGTTAAATAAAGCTATTTCACACACACACACTCACACACCCACACACACACACACACACACACATGGTTATAATACAATAATCGAAAACTAAAGTAGAAATCTTGAGAGTCGCGTGAAATTACAAGAGATGTAAACATGACAATTATCACGTTAACTTATAAATCAATATATCCGTTAATTTGTCTGCGATGTCACTTCGGTGGAAGCGGATGTTAAATAAAGCTGTTACATAAACACCCACACGTGGTTATAATACAACTAGAAGAATGCCTGGCTTCGCTTGGGGGTCATAACTCCGAAACTGGAAGTGGTAGACTAACGCTACCTGGCCTATGTTACTCCCCGGTCTGAGCTACCCCTATACCCCAAATTTCAGACTCGGGGCAGACCTAGTGTAGCCGCCAACCCCGAACAGACAGACAAACTTCACAAATATTAGTATAGATAATCGAAAACTAAAGTAGAAACCTCGCGAGACATATGAAACTACAAGAGATGTAAACGTGACAATTATCAAGTCGAAGAAAAGATTCTATTTTGATGGCATATACTCGGGTTTAGGCAACACAAATAAAATAAGTTGTTTCTCGGGCACCGCCCGCACGCCTATTTATTAGTCTTGATGAAAAATAAAAAATATGTAACGCCCGCCCGAACATCGATAAGCAAGTCATAAAAAGAATATGCCGCATGTATCTACATGCCCCATACGTGAATATCCATTCAAACGTATTAAACTGATTCAGATGCAAACACTCATTTACGGGTCTTTTTTATTGATATCGAAAGAACCTCCATTTTTGTATCACATGATTTTAATTACCTCCCCTTGTGAACTAGAATTTGATTCGTGTTAAACACCGAAAGTCATTGACAACAATGCAATGTATTTCAATCATTCGATCTTAATCGGCTCATTATTGCCGGCTTCAGTCGGTCCATGTTTGAAAAAATCCTACTTATAAAACAATGAATCGTAGAACAGGTTAATTATTATAACTTGTGGCTACGAATACGATACGATGATAGTCACCATACCTTAGTCAGAATCTGGGTCATTAGCACATTTAACGGTAGTTTTGATAATCCGGAAAAAAATAATTGGATTACACATTTGATGGTTTTACTGACCAGTTGTTAGTTAAATTTAAATAGTCATTCGATATAAACCCCAGATAGAACACTGAATATCCTGAGAAACACACCGAATATCCTGAGAAACAGTCATTTCCCGAATCCCGATGACACGTACGTGACATGCATTGGTTGGAATTAGGTCAATCATTATAAACCAGCGATACTAGATTTAGATCTAAGTGTTGTTTACCGTGATGATTATTTTTGATACACATGCTGACAGAGGCTTACTCTTTAAAATATTGTCGTTATTATGGCCGTCTATTAATTGTCGTACAGAATTTTATTTTAAACCAATTTTAATTATGGTTGTCACCATTACCATTAGTAAACTACATTACGTGAATTAAATATGGAAAATTATTTTCCTTTCAGTCAGTGTTCAGTGTTTGAGTTGACTTGATTTTTGGGTTTATGTTCTAAGTATGTATAATATATAACTGAAAGCAAAACCGTAGACGAGTAATGACTTTCTCATTAAAAAAAAAAAAAAAATACAAGGCCGCCCTGCCGCCCCAACAATTTTCAACAATAGCCAAATTTTATTTTGCACCATCCTCTAGCCAGAAATGAGGTAAAAAAAATAAATAACCCGCCCTCCCCCCCTATAGTTTCAGCTGTCAGTTGCCCGAGAAACAAGACATTTATTTTGTGTAGCCTTATGATAATATTTTGAATGGGGTTTATGTTTAAAAATGTCGACAAATATTTTGATTGGAATAGTGTTAATTGTTTTACACGGTAGAGCGTACGAGTGTTATTATTTAGCAGATGATGTCACTGGCTCGGTATCGTGGAGCGACAGTCACTGCCCAAAAATTTTCGGGATGCCTTTTTTTTTTTTACCTCCACCCATATAGAAGTCAAAACGTAGTATAAGACGAATGCCGGACTTCTGCTGAAAAAAGTATCGACTTATACCCCGAAAAATACGGTAATTTTGGAGGTGATTTTGAACAAAAGTACGGGTCAACAGTAGTCGGCACGCATTTATTCTATCGTATTACGACAACACGTAATTTTGTAGGAATATTACTGCCATAAATTTGAATACCGTACGAGAATTAAATATGAAAAAATAATGAGGCGCACCTATTTTTTTTAATTACGTACGAATTTGAATATTTTGTTGACACGTGATTTTTAATTGTGGTCTGAAACCGCTGCTTAAATAATGATAAGAGTTATGCCCCTTTATTTTTGGTAAAAATGTCCAACAAGAAAATTTTTGAAATCCCATCACTGGTTGTGCCATATAGCTCTTTGAATTTAATTGTACAGATCTAGTAATATGTGAGATGTTTATATACAACAGTATGTAATTTTATCGGATATATGATAGCAGAGTCACCAACAAACAATTACAAAAAGTAAACATTCCTTTCAATTTCTGTTTTCAGCAGCTGAAATGCTAGATCCCAAAGCCAAAACATCTGGTGAGAGATCACCATATCCTGTACGTCGTCATCTTCCTCCAAGCCCACTTATTCACTCTTCTGTACAGTGTTATGCTATATCCCAGGAAGAACAAAATAACATCTTTATTAATCAAAACAGTTCACATCTCCGGTTAGTTATTATCTAATGATTTAATACATCTTATACTGTCATACGGTAAATCAAGTAATTAATGTGTTCAGCGGAAGCTGCTACCAGTGGCATTAATTTCAATATGTTATTCTCTTCTGATGATTAATTAGATGATTGACTAATCAGTGATTGAAAGTAGGCTTAATGGCATGGGCATAGAAAATGGAAGTATCATCTTTACTATTTGTAAATTTACAAGAAATTTTTATTTTTTGATTTACAATAATATTTGTTTTACATCAAATGTATAGGGAAAATCTAAATGGAAGTTTCAATAATAATGATCTCTTTTCCAATAGTTTAATCTAGATTTCACATATAAATAACTACTGATTTTAATGTCT